GAGCTTGGTTAATTTATTTCTTTCATTAACAAGTTCGAACTGTGAGATAATCTGAAACCCACTACCCTCCCCTTCAGAAACCCTGAGAAGCTCAAAAGGGCCCCTTTTCAGCTTCCAGAGGGCTCCAATTCACTCCTTTATTAGTTGTGGGCAAAAAGTGTGTGATTGAATCTTATTTCTGAAGCTTCTTTATACAATTTGTTTCTTCCTTTGTTTGTTACTTACGTGAAGGGGAAGGTGGAGGCCCTAGATCCTAATGTTAATATTTCAGGCCTTTTTTAGTGGTCTTGCTGCTTTATCCTGCTGAAGCCTGTGGTTTTGCTGCTCACTGGGTCTGTGAGAGCAGGGTGCAGTCCTTGAACTAAGCCTTGTTTTAGATCCTCCCTCCTATTCAGCCGTGGTTCACTGGCTGCTTAAGATCCACAGAGCGTATCCAGTACTTTCCTGTTCTGTTTCCTCCTGTTCAGTAGAAGGTGATGAGTTGTATGTAGGTCTAGTCCTGATGCTCCTGATTTGGACACCACTGGGTACAGTGACCTTGCTACTGGGAGTTGTTACCTCTCATCCAGCGCTATTAACAACTCATTTTTGCATTTCCTTTCCTTCCAACAGTTCTATCTGTTTTCAAGTGCTCCACAGTGTGTCTGTTCCATGCTGCATGGGTTGGAATATGCTTGCTTGTCCCTTCAGCAGATTCACAGACCTTGTTGTAACTCCCTCCTGTCTTCCTGTGTTCTGCCATGCAAAGAACCAACATTGAATATAGCCCAAAATCTTCTCTCTAATGTTGAAAAAAGAAGTTATTATCACTCCTTTGTCTCACAACAATTGTCTTTAGATGCTTATTAAAACAGTAATCATGGTGAAATCATCCTGTGTGCTTCTGAACAATATTGTACCTGTTCTGACCAAAGGATTTTCCACCAGATCGCTGGTCTCTAAACTACTCTCTTTGATTCTGTATCTATAATGTACTATTTTCCCCTACTGATAGATATGTATCCATACTAAGTTTCTGCAGAACAGGAGGAAAAAGATGCTCTTGTCCTGAAAATATGCTAATGCTAGAAAGAGTTTTTGAATAAGAAACAAGAATTTTCACTGAGATTTTTTTCCTGAGTGAGTTAGGTCATTTTTTAAGGAAATAAGAAAGGCTTTGAAGCCAAATAGTATAGATACTTTGTAAATACCTATTACTCACCTGTAAATCAATAGAATGTTCTGAGAAGGAGTTTTATTTAGTGACATTAAAGACTTTTATGATAAATCCAGTAGCAGTATCCACATATTGATGCCTATTCATTAGCCCAGCTAAAATGCTTCTCTGTTTATGTAGTATTTAACACATTTATGATGTGTTTAAGTGACCTCAAAAAAAACACCTCTTTCTAGTGAATGTTTGGGCACCTGTATAGTGACAGTGAGCCTCCTGATGGTGGAATTGCTTTTTGCAGTTGCTGTGTGTGGTGCTCTTGCAAGCATTTTGAGGAATCCCAAAGATCTCCACACTATAAGCTAAAAACTAGTTAGTGTGGTTGATGCAGACATGCAGTGCTTGCCTGTTGCTTTTTGTTCTATGCCAGGAATTGTTATGTACTGTGTATATATATCTAGAAATTGCCGACTGAATAAAGTTATCCCTCTGCATATTCTTCTATTGGAAGGGTAGGTATCAAGTTGCTAGAATGGAGATCGCTGTGCAAATGAAGGGGTGACCAGAAGTGCTGATATTAAATCTTGTTTTAAGCTTCTGAGCCCCTACTCCTCTGTTTTCACTGGGGGTCTGAAAATTTTAATGAGACCTACTCAGCAAGAGTCAGTGGGCTGCCTGCACAGTGCAGGTCACTGCTGTGGCTGGCACTGCATGGCAGTGAGCACCCTGCGGCTGGGTGAGTGCTGACAAACATGATCTCTAACAGGAGCATGGTAAGCATCCTGTGACTGTGAGATAGCAAGGGTCAGGCAAAATTTACTTGCACGTTATTCTTTCTTTTTCCTGTCATTGCTCTTAACTATGCAAACTGAGAGCAGACTGTTCAAAAAGACTAAAGAGAAACTGACTTTAGGTCTTTTGACCTAAGAAAGCTGCTTGAACTCACTGATCTGTTTAAAACAGTATAGGCCATATTCTTGTGCAATTTTTTTTTTTACAAGTACCTTGACAAGCATATTGCTAGGTACAAGCACAATTCTCTGAGAAGCTGTAGAAATAAGTACCACACATATTCATGCAAGCGGCAAAGAAAGAGCATACCTGCTAACTCCTGACTGCCTCTTTAACGTAACATAGGCAGTTCTTAGACATCTAGTTGGGTTGCTAGTTGTGCCCTCTGTTCTTTTAAGAGCAGTTTGGAGTTTGCTGGCAAAACAAGTGAGCACTTCCCACATGTCTACATTATGTAATGCTATGATGATCTTAGTCATATAGACTACAATGATTTGTGTTGACAAGGTAAGCAGATTTTTGACTTGAACTGATGACTGACTTCCCTTCTTTCCATTACTATCCTGAGCTATGTGGTTAGGGAAGACCAAGTGGATTTCCTGTTATTTTCAGGAGCTGGAGTTCTCCCCAGAGAAACTGGTGATGTTCACTAAGGAAAGTCAGGGCAGAGCGAAGTAGAGTGCATACTGAGGCTGAGTTCCTTTCTTTTCTCCAGAGACTAAAGTTAATGGGGTTGCATATGGAATCCTCTTGGTACACAGCTATGCAATCATTGAGTATCTGGCAGTTGTTTTTCTCCTATTAGTAGGAAATTTATTGCGCTTAAATGAAGGAAAGTCTGATTTGTGGGGGGATATACATGAAAATGTTCAAACTTCTTAATAGGAAAACCAAAAATCCGTAACTCTTGGTTACTGTAGTTAAGTAGTCTCAATCTAAATTATTTAGATAGGTGAACACAAATCCTTTTTATTGTGTTATGTTGAGTATGCAAGACAAGGCAGCTAAACCATAAGAAGAAACCTTAGCATGATTATTGCTTGATAAACTTTGGATGAAAGAAGAGAAAGGGTCCTTTACGTTTGAACTTTTTATCCTCCTAAGGTAGAAAGAAATAAAAGTATAAGTTGGAAAATGCATCTTCTGCCTCTGATTCATAGGACAGTTCCACTCCTTTAACATAATGTGCAAATGACAACAAATTCAAGTAAAAGTAATTGACTATCTCCTGAGAGTATAAGAAATATGTGATTCAGCTCTTTGGCCTGGAAAAATCATACTTCTAGGTCAGATGTCATTAGAGTAGTACATTTCTGTGTGTATGTGTATCTATATATATATACTTTTTTCTTTCTCTTTAGTCTGTCAAAATACTGCCTGCTAAGAATGTGATTTTGCCGAGGACCTCATTTGGAGGCTAGATGAAAACAATCTGGATAGATATACATTTTATTATTTAGAATCTTTATCAATTAGTAAACTACAAGGGAATTAGGTTGATATGTCTATAAAAAGGAGAAGGAATGAAGAACATCACCCTGGGATATGGTACATTCTGCAGCAATTATCCATTTCACCTGTTTGCAAATACAATGCTATTCTTAGCAGCTCCTTCACAGGTTCCTTCCAGAGACTCCAACCAGGTACAGCTAATACACAGTTCTTAGTCTTCAGACCTCATCCTTTGGAAATTCAACTGTGTTTTAAAAATGGTTCAGATTTGAATTTTTCAATTCTAGTCTTTTCCTTAAATCAATTTGCTTTGACGTTCCTTTTCATATTCATTTTCATATTCATTTTCTCTTTTAAGTAGGTCCTGTATCTTGCTCTTACATCTGTTGAATTCTAGCCATCATGATACTGCTAATTTGTGCCCTTTTCAGACAGCAGGTATTTCAGAAACCTGTTTCCTTACTGCTTGTAGGGAAGATGGCATTCTTTCCTGCCACAGTAATATCATGCTGAGTCCATTGTAGTTGATCTTCTGAGGGAATTTCTTTGGCATAATCAGTGCTGTAAACCTGCCTCTAATGAGTCTATACTGACAGACACAAATACAGGTATGGCTGCTGAAATCTGGTCCTTCACAACTACAAGGAGACTCACTGAGGTCATAATGTTCCTGTTACTAGTTAACTACTTCCAGCAGAGCAACACTACACTTAAAGAACTTGAGGCAACAGGTTGCTAGTACTATCTTTTCTGTACTGGCTCCAGCCATTTGTTTCCTGGCTGCTTATAAAGCATAGTTCATTTTATGTGTCTTTGTTGTTTCTGTGTCTTATAGCCCTTTATCTGTTGTCTACTAAATCTTCTAGCCTTGAGCCCAGAGATCTTTCATTCACATTTATTTTTCTTTCCAAAGGCTGAATGAATATCTCCTCAGCTAATATCCAATTTGTAGCTACCCAGAAGCCTCTTGAATTGAGAGGCAATAGAGTACTTGCTTTATTTCATATCTAGTGTATCTTACTTCTAATCTCTGATTGTCTTGACTTTAAATCAAGTTGCCTGCAGTCCAAGTTCTGGCCTGATGGAAGATGCCTGAATTCACTCTACCTGTGAACATTCATGTACGCCATCATAACATTTACATCTAAAGTTACCTTTCAATTTTTCTTCCGGTTGAAGCTCCTTTCCCCTCATTTTGTTGATTTCTATCGTACCCTGGAGCAGCTGCTGTTATTTCATTATGTTCTTCTCTGGGACAGAAGCAGAATTCCTCTTCTGCTTGGTATGGAAGTCACCTGTTTGGGATTGAGCCACACTTGTCAAGAAGAGACAAGTAGCCGTGGTCCAAAGCACGTGTGGTTCTGTCTGTTCAAATAAACATTTTTCCTGTTTACAAAGAAGGTCCGTAAAGCTTTTTCTTAAATACAGCAAGGACAAATGAAAAATAGGATTTTCTGTCCTGATAAGATAGGCTAATGTCAAACCCAGGTCAAATCTCTCGTCTTCCTCCTGAAGCTCTCTCACTTTGCTTCATGATTACTTTTAGCTTCTGCTGCATACATCTCCACCAATTCATGCTGTTACTGTTGTTTCATTTCTCTAGGAGATCAAAGCAAGAAACTCCGATTTGAAAGATTTTTGTTACCCGTTGTCTTGGATGGAACATCTAGTGGTGGCAAATGCAGCAGCGTCTAGGACTAGACTTGTAAACAGATGTTTCAGCAGCCTCAAGCACCATGTGATGTGGTATGATCTTTAACTATGATCTTTAACTATCTAAGAACTGTCTTGATACCATAAAGATGACAATTTTAGTGTTACCCCCATTTAATCAATAACAGTTGCATTAAAGAGCCAAACACTTGGCTTTCTGAATGTGAAGATCTTTCAGAAAGCAGAAAACACCTGTTCTTTTTCATTCACATTCATATGGAGTTACTACTCATGCATAAGGCAGGCAGTTGTGAATTCTGAGTATGTGTCTCTGTGTGTATATATATGTGTGTGTGTCTCCATTCCTAGTACAGGAAGAGAATCCAACAATATTTCACCCAAATGAGAAATGTTATTCTGCAGATTAAAGCCATGCAGGGCCTGGTTTTGTCTTTATTTATGCCTTTCTATTTCCTTCCCTGCTGACATGGGTGCACATGCCGGGAAGCACTGAAGGACATAATTGGCGTTGTGAAAAATTATTGGGAAGCCAGAACGTTCCCTTGCAGTGATCCCCCCCTTCTCTTTCCCATCTGTCACCATCTAATGTGACAAAGTTTTTATCGGGCATTGAGGCAGAGGAGATTAAAAGTAAATACTGCAATCAGGAAGCAGCTGGGGGGAAAATGTAACACATTTCACACTAAGCTGAACAGCTCATCAACTTAGCCTTGTATATCTACGGCGGATGAGAGGGAGGGAGGGCTGCAGGGGGATGGTGTAGCGCAACATGCTCCTCCGCACTGCCAGGCTGAAGAGGATCATGTGTTTTCTTATACAAATAAGATTCATGCTTTCTGACACTTGCTTTGGGGGGAAAAAACAAAAAAAACAAAAAACAAAAAACCAATCAGGAGCACAGTAGTTTTCCACTTGCTTTTGTAACAAACTCATGTAAAACACTGTTTCCTCATGACCTGATTTACATTTCTTAATACTCTCTTTACACTTTAGTGTTTGTCCCAGGTAGTGCCATACCTGCATGTAGCTCTGGCTGCTGTGGGCTCCTGTTGCACAATCTCTGGGGAAGGTTTGTTGGCTAAATGGAAGCCCTTGTGTACAGACAGATACAATGATGATGTAGGCTTGTGAAGATGAACACTGAACACTGCGATCTTTGGATCACACCGTGCTAAGCACTGTTATATTTTGTCTAAACTGATTTGCTTGGAAAGGCCAGAAAACTTGAAAATTTTATTTTATTCAAACCACGTTGCTTTATTTTATTTTTGTGTATAAAAGTTAAGGTATTTGAGCACTACCTGTCACATTCTCTTCTAAAGCTTTTAAAAGTCAGTGCTTTCATTTGCAAAATATTGGCAGTATCTTCTTCCTTTTTGACAGCAGTCATATGATGTGAGCTCAGTGCTGGTGATCAAAGTGTAGGCTGATGCTTGTGGATAGCTGTCAGAATACTCTCTTTATCCTTGGGATAGATAAAGCTATGTAAGTTGATATAAGCTTCCTTGGTATCCCTGCCTTTCTGCATGTGACTTCTACAGAAAGAATGGATTCTCCTAGACTGGGAAGGATCTTAGTCTCCAGCATTTGTTTGATCCTTGACTCTTCTGCTGAGTGCCAATAAAAGTTCAATATATGTTAGTTATGCTAGCGTTTCAGTGTGAAGTAAAAGGTTATTTTGCTAGGAAATGGACTCTGACCCTGTTGCCTTAACTGCGTAATTTAACAGGATTTCCTTAATTTAGAGTTACTTCATGGCTTTCTTATCACTTGTTCCTCAATGTTGATGAGGTGTCCTGTGGTTGTTAGCAAGCTGTCAGAGAATAAAAAATTAAAAAATCTTTTCAACTACTTGCTGAATAATAAGATCAGATGTCTCTTTGCATGAATTTAACTTATTTTTCTGCTCCTGTTTTCAAGGGTGCCCTCAGTCAGCCTGTGTAGTTTGCATCATGTTACTCATTGGTACCCTGCTCTGGTTGTGTCATTCTGGAGTCATCCAGTTAGAAGAGCTTAGTCAGGTTGTATAATCCATGGCTAAGACTGTGTTCTGTCTTCAGACAGTAACTATAGAATGATTCTTTGGCTTCTCTAAAGCTTCCAAATAGCAGATTGTAACAACTTCTTGCTATTCTACCAGTGCACCTGTTTTTCCTTATAAAAAGTTGGCTTTGATCTCACCATTCTTTGTTGATTACAAAATCCACCAAACAGGACAATTATGGAAGTCCATGCTTTCTGAACATTCGATTGGTAGAGAGAGTGGAACCTTTAACTTCTGGTGTTAACTCAAATAAATAAATCCTGCCATTGGACTGCCAGCAATGCGTGTTTTGACTGTACTGAAGTACTGATGTTATTGGGTAAGGAACTATTTCCATTGTATGAAAGGAGTGAGATAAGGATTTAAAATATGGTGAGGAGTCATTACTGTACTTTTCCTGATATCCCTGCATTATCAAAAATAGGCAAGTTATTGAGATTTGTTTTTCCGTAGCTCATATGAGCTACTTTTTAGTGTTTGACAGCTAAATTTTGATAATGCTCTCTGCAAAAAGCAAGTACCTGCCCTCATTATGACGCTACTTATTTGCTGTCCTGCTGATAAAGTTCCATGCTTTACCTCAGGTCTGTGGGCCTTGATCTGGGCCTCTGTGTCAGTGTTTCTCCAAACATGTGAAGGCCATTGTTATCTTACAGGCTAGAACTAGGAGTATCACCCTTATTCTCACTGCACTCCTAGTTACATCAACACCAGAAGGAGGATACCATGAGCCATGATAGCATGCAGAACATGAGACACAAGAGGAATTAAGTGAGAAAGGAGGTTAGGAAAAGGGCTAGATGGGGCAGAGGAGTGCAGGAGAGGATTGATTGGGCTGGGACTTGAAAACCTTCGGAGATAAAGGTTCCACAGTTTCTCTAGATAACACATTCCACTGTTGAGTTATGGTGAAAATATTTTTCTATGTATTCAGTTAGAACTTTCCTTCTTGCAGGAGATGGCCATGGTGTGTCATCCTTCTCACCCCAAACCGACCAGAAAAGTCAAGTGGGTGATGTTTTTCAAAACATTAGTATAGAGGATCATGCTATGGCTAAATACCTGGTTGTTGTTATTACCATTCTTTTAAGTCTAGTTGAAGCCCATGCAGCCTATCTTGATGGCTTCTAGTAGTTAACTGATTGCAGCTTTCTCCTTAATAGTGTGTGGGGTTGTTGTTTGTTTGTTTGTTTTTTAAATAAGGAGGAAGTGTCTTTTAAACAACTACTGCCTCAGGGTGCAGTCACATGCAGGTAGGCTCAGACCTTGGAGATGACCTCTGCAAGGAATGTTTTGCTGCAGGAAGCCTGCTAGTAGCACAGAAGGTTGCGCTTTCAAAGGATGAGGCAGATGGTTTGCTGCTAAATATTCTGCTTTTTGGGTAAGACATAAAACTGAGGTTCTGAACACTTGCATATTTTCGTAAGTGCTTCCTGACTCTCTCCTAGGTGTATTATAAAGAGTGCTTGTGCTTTGTTTGGGCAATACCAAGTACCATGATGAAGTGCAAGTAACTCAATGGGATTTATACGAGCTTATGAAGCGGAGAATAAACCCCATAGTTTGCACAGTAAATCAATTTGTAAAGCGCTTTGGGATCTTTCTGGATGAAAGGCGCTATATAAATGTAAGCCATGACCATTCATCATTATTGAATATGAAATAGAGATATACACTCTATCAAGCTAGCAGCAATAGGCTTGGGCTCATGATTGCTCACAGGGCCCAATCAATCATCAGATCACGACATAATGCAGCTAGAATAGAAAAAAAAAGAAAGGAAAACTTACAGCAAATCATTCCAAGCAATGCAATTAATGGGCACCCAGTATAAATAGTGATCTCAGTCAGGGAGCCTGGGCTTTTCCTGAGCAGTAGAGTTGATTCCAGAGCCATACAGTGTGAAAGAGAGAATTAGTAATCCAGTATTAGCAAGGGAAAGTTCCTCACTAGCAGTATGCTGTACAGACATTCACTGCAGTTAGACTAAAAAGATTTTGTGACTATAGCTTTCAGAATTGCTTTCCCCCCTGTTGTGTCCTTGTGTCCATCCCCCTTCCCCCCCCTCCCCATTTGGGAAGAGACATAGAAAAATGTTGTGGTTTTTTTTGTAGAAAATGTTAGACTCTGTTCTACATCAGGTCACAGAGATACTGTACATTTATTTTACTAAGCTGTAGCCCAAGCTTTAGCCTTGGTTGCTATCTGTAGTATCTATGGCTTCTGCAATACAGTGTGCACCAAAAACAGTGTTCATAGGAAGTGAGGATTGGGATCAGGCTGCCTTGCATGCCAGGGTGCATAATATAATTTATGTTGCTTATCCTTGGAGAGACTGACTGCCATAATGTGCTCCTTTTTATGCCAATTAGGATGAATGAAATGTAGGCTGCTCTAGTACTTGGCTTCAAGAGCCATGCAAACTGAGAGCTTTCTGCACTCAGACAAGTGCTCTTTCTGTCCATATGATTGCCTAATGAGAGAGGGCAATACCTGGTGTGAACTTCCTCTCCTTCCTACTTCAATTCTGCTGATGTGACTGCCTCTCAAATGCTGTAATGCTATGAGATATTCTACTCTCATTTTCGGTTTTTACCAAACTAAGATTGAAAATTAATAAAATTTAAGGGAGGGGAGTAAACACTGGAATAAGAAAGCAGGGGAAGTGGATCAACAATCTCATTATGTAAGACCTGTTTTATCACAGGTCAGTTTAGGAAAAATAGGTAACCCCCTTCTACACTTCTGTGTGATAACCGTGTGGCAGTCTGCACATTACACACAGTCTATAGTGCCTGTGTTGCTGCCTGCAGTTATCTTAATCTCCAGCACGGAGGCATAGCTTGATGTGTTACGATGATATGACACGGTAGGATGAGAGATAACTGCCTCAAATTGTGCCATGGGTTCAGGTTGAGTATTAGGAAAAAATTCTTCTCCAAAAGAGCGGTCAGGTATTGAACAAGGCTGCCTAGGGAAGTGGTGGAGTCACTGTACCTGGAGGTGTTCAAGAAACGTGTAGAGGTGG